GTTGTTGAGACAGATTTGGAGACCGAGTTCGCCCCACCGGTGGGATACGTTGAGCCTGAGTATACTCCAAAATCTGTGAAGCCATCTACCACACCAATAGATCCTTCCAGCGTCAAGAAGAGTGCAGGTGCTGGCACTATGGCTCAATCGATCAACTTTGCCAACCTCGTAGCAAGTGGTGGCACAACATCATACAAAGGCAGTGGCCAGAAGCTCTCGGGTAAGGCGACTGGAGATGAGGACAAAAAACTCACCATCGATGACTTGGATCCTGACATCCCTCCTGCCCCCTTGCATTTACCGGCGAACCAGCTTTTCCTTGGATGGCCAGTCACACTTCCCACACCGGAGGAGTCTGAGTCGGAGCAGCCTGCGCCTACAGCATTTTCTGGCGAAGGCAAGTCATTGAGGCAAAGCAAAAAGAGAACCAACAAGGGCAAAGACCACCCTCCTTTGAAGAACCACAACCGCAGCCCTGACTACATCGAGATTGATGATTAATGATTCTAATTATGATACTTCCTAGACCACTGTGGCCTCTGGATTTTCTATTATTTACTGCTCCGTGGTAGAAGGGAGGAACACGTCGTTGCCTTGTTCCATAGCCCTCTTGGTATGGTAGACAATGTCATCGGACTCCCATGGGTAAGCGATCCACACATCTGGCACAGTTCTTGCGGCGAAGTAGTTGCCGGTCTTCATGATCTCGTCTGGCAAACCAGCCTTCTTGGTCTTATCCTTGTCGTGGAGAACAAAAATGCCGAACTTTGTGTCTTCAGGGTTGGCACCCTTAGCCTTGGCTTGCTCGGTGACATCCTTCTTCAACTCAGATACAGCATAATGCAAAGTGGTTCTAGTGTCGTCAACCTCGTCAATGATCAAAATGTTCTTGTTGACCAAGTCCACCTTGGATTGAGCGTAGTCAATCCATTGGGTTCTGACAACCTGAGTGCCGACCTGCTCAGCCTGAGTTCCAGCGGTCTCGATATCCTCGTAAAGAGACAAGATAATGGCCATGATTCTGATGTTAGGCTGACCTGGCTCTTTCAAGAAGGTTCTCAACATACGAGCTGGGATGAAACCTCCACCACCGATGGCGATGATCAAGTCAGGCTTGAACTGCTTGATCTTTTCAGAGGTCTCCTGACACAACTGGTGGATGTTGTTGTACGTAATGTACATTTTCGTAGCTTCAACGTCGGCGCTGTCCATCTTGTCTTGTTTGCGAAGATTGTTTCTGGCGTGGGAAGGAGAAGTTCCTTATAAGTGCGTGATGAGAATGGGATGAGGGAAGATAAGACGGTCTTTTTACTCTTCGCGACTTTTTTTTCTAGCCAATGCGGTCAAGCAAGGGTCATGGAAATATTGTACTTGAAGCATTTGTTTAAGGTGATGGCTCAAGGATCATCAATTTGAATAAATGAAGTTTTTGATTTTGCTACTTCTAGGAGCTCTGATGGAAAGTTCGGAAATCGTGAATAGCCTCCGAGGCATCTCCGCGGGTTACTATAATTTCGCAACCACGAAGCGCAGCGCCTGCTTCAATCCTTTGCAGCAGCGGAAACAGTATTACACGTGGCAATCTTCTGAGAGACAAGAGATCAATATTTGGGCTATGAGAATGACTGAATATGAAGGCGGTGGCGAATTAGGTGACACCTGTTCAGTCGTACGGCTTAGGAAGTACATCCAGCGAGGATCAGTATTTTGACTTGAACAACTCGATAGAGTCAACCTTGCTATGAATCTGACCAGCTTAGGTTAGAAATGTAAAATATTATAGAAATCCAGCTCTTAACCTTCTGGCTACCCTAGTTGGGCACTTGACATACAAGGCATTTGGTCTTAGTATCATGCAGTACAGTCTCTCCACGATTACCTGTTCAGGCGATTGCAAAAAAGTCACATATTGAAGTGAAGACGATGCATGGAACGTGAAATGACAACAAAATTACGGAAGTTATACTAGCTCAAACCGGAAGGTGGAGGATCAAAAGTATACTTCTTTGGAAGTCCAGTCACCAGGGTTTTTTCCACGTTGGGCCCTTCCCCACCTTGATCGTCGACCTCACGGTAGTGCACACGGCAGTGGCCACTATGTATCGAGATCTAGCTGGAAAACAGCCTACAACTTCTTCTTCATTGACCTATACCCCCAAACACGATGAAGTTGACTGCTTTACTTTGCTTACTTTGGAGCTCTCTAACGCTCGCGGCCATTGTAGGCATCGACCTTGGTCACCAATTTTCAAAAGCTATTATGGTGGCCCCCGGCTTGTCTTTTGAGATTGTCGTCACTGATGAAGGCAAGAGAAAAGACTTGAGTGCTATCTCTTTGAGACCTACTGTTGAAAAGGGAGAGTTGCTTGACGCTGACAGGGTGTTCGGTGCCAAAATTGGCTCGCTTTGCTCGAGGTTTCCCGAGTCCTGCGCTGCTAACATCAAGGCCCTCTTGGGTAAGCTGATTGACGACTCCACAGTCCAGGAATACCTCAACCGCCACCATGGTGTGAGCTTGACTTCCGACAAACTGAGAAACAACAGTGTCAGCATGCAGTTGGGTGCTGATGCCAACAAGTTTGAGTTCCCCGTGGAAGAGCTCATGGCCATGACTTTGAACGAATTGAAGGAAAGAGTTCTCAATGAGTTGAAGAACCACAGACAGGCCAAGAACATTGCCGAGGATGTGGCTATCTCAATTGCCCCATACGCCTCCCAGGCCGTTAGAAGAGCCTACTTGGACGCTCTCCACTTGGCCAATTACTCCTCAGTTTTGGGTCTTGTTGACGAGGGCACCGCCGTGGCTAGAAGTTACATCGGTAGCAGAAAACTCAACGATGAGGATGTTTATGGTGAGACTGTTAACCACATTATTTACGACTGTGGTGCTGGTTCCACCACTGCCACATTGTTCTCCTACACCTATTACGAAAACCAGACTATGACCTTAGACATCCAGAGTGTTGGCCATGATGATTCTTTTGGTGGTGAATTGTTGACTCAATCCATTTACGAGCTTCTTTTCGAACGTTACTTGAAAGAGTTCAAGTTGCCCAAGAAGCACACCTTGTCTCCAAAGTTGGCTTCCAGACTTCTTGAAGCGGCTGAAAAGGCCAAGATTATTTTGTCTGCCAACAACGAGTACAAGGTCACTTTGGAGAACTTCCCTGACGAGAAGGACTTCTCCACTGTCATCACAAGAGATGAGTTCGAAGCAGCTAACGCCAAGATTAGAAAGAATATCGCTGATCCCATCAACGAAGCCTTGAAGAACAGTCCAACTGGTCCCAAGTCTATTGATGACATCAAGTCTGTTATTTTGAACGGTGGCTCGACTAGAGTGCCATTTGTTCAGAAGGAATTGGTAAACTTTTTGGGTTCCGAGGACAAGATCGCCAAGACTGTGAATGCTGATGAGGCATGTGCTTTGGGTACTACCTTCAGAGCCTACGAGTTGAAGATGATCGCCTCCAACCCTTACAACGTCATACTCACTGACAGAATTTTCAGCGACTTTGATGTCTCCATCGACGGTGCGCAAGAACCTCTTTTCCCTAAAGGGTCAGCATCGGGATCCACTGTCAAGAAGTCTTTGGGACCTGTGAACAAGAAGGCGAAGAAAATTGGCTTGTATGAAAACGGTGCTCTCTTTAAGACCTTCTCGATTGAGAACTCCGTCAGCAAGGCCAAGAACCTTAGGTGCGACAACCCTGAAGTCTTTGGTACTTTCAAGATTGACCAAAACAAGATCGTTACTTTGTCTGCTCTCACTGTGGAGTGTAATGAGCCAGAGGTTGAATCTACTGAAGAGGAGACTTCAACCGCTGTGAATGCCACTGCTCCTAAGAAAACAAAGACTCCTCCAAAGGTGAATTTGCCAATTCCTGACGCTGATTACACAAGTGTGAACCCTCTTCTGAAGAAGCACCGTTCAACCAGTGCAAACAGATTGGCTCACTTGAAGCAAAAGGATTTCGATAAGATCCGTGTGTCGGAGGTCAAGAATTTGGCTGAAAGCGCTTGTTACGAGTTGCGTGCCTACTTGGAGGAACATGGTGACCAAATTCGCAGTGAATTGGGTATTGAGAAGTTGGAGAAGCTCGAGGGCATCATTAGTGAAACTCTTGAATGGTTGGACTACGAAAGTGACCACGCCACATTGGATGAACTTCAGCAGAAATTCCAGAAGATCACCACCCACAAAGCAGAGGCAGAGGACACTGTCAACATGCTCAAGAGTGACTTATCTATTGAGGCTCTTCAGAAGGTGCACCAAGAGGGTGTTGAGATCTCTTCCCTGGTTCAAGCTTACTTATTGGAATACGGAAGCCAGATTAACGAGGTCAGAAGCAGATATGAGGCTGTTGATCTTGACTTTGATGTCGAGAACGACAAGATCATGAAAAAGCTTTACGGTAGCGGAACCAGCGAGGGCACCAAATTGGACAATCACTACAAGGAATTCAAGGTGGCCTTGAGAACTCTCTCAAACACTATCGGATTATCAACAAGTGCCTTCAACAAGAGAAACAAAAAGGAGGTGTTCCAGGAAGCTGAAGCCGTCAGAACTTTGATTGTGAAGATGGTCGAGGACATCTTGCCCCTCCAGCTGAACCATGAGACAAGATTGGAGTACTTGTTGACCAGACTCAAGACATTGACGAAGCAGAAGGAACAAAGGGAGGCTAAGGAGAAGGCCAAGGCTGAAAAGTCTGCCCAAGTTGATGAGAGCGCCGAGACTGAGGAGGTGGAAGCGGACCCTGTGGAGCAGGCCGATCCCGTCGAACCTTCTGAGCCCGTGGAGGCCAATGGACCTGATGACAATGAGCAGGAGACAGAGGAAGTGCACGACGAGTTGTAAGCACAAATAAAAGAAGGCGGAAAACTGGGATTCGCCATTAATTATTACCTATACATATATATCGTATCGAGCAGCGTAGTGCGCATATAGCATGCATCGAAAACTAAGATGAGATGTGCGACAGATACCAACTACAGTGATGCTGAATAGCAGAGATAGTTACAGAACTGGTGACTACTCCAGCTATGTTTCTAGTTCTCAAAGAGATACTAGAGGTCGAGGATTCCGAGAACGAGAAAGAGATCCAAGAGACAGAGACACCAGAGACCTGAGGGACAGAAATGGCGATAAAGGAAGAGGCCGTTTTGATCGAGAATATGGTCAGGATCGAGATAAGAGGAATAACTACAGATCTTATGATAACAGGAATGACGACAGATACCGTCCAAGAAACGACAGGTATGGGTACAGAAATCAGGGCAGTCGATACAGAGACACAAAAAAGAACATAGACCCAGATGCGGGCCTCACCAAGGAGCAGAAGATAGAAAAGTACGAGAGAAAGCTAGCATCCTTGATGGCATATCCAGTGATAGAAAAACTACCTGTTCTAGGGTCACAATGGGGCGTCAAGCCAAAAGGATTGGAGAACGTTACTGCTCAACGTGCGAAGCTCTCTGGGTTATTTCCACTCCCTGGGGCACCTCGGGCGGCAGAGGATGCCAAGATTGGAGACCTTCTCAAGGACTCTTCGGAGTCTGGAGTGTTGATGGCTAAATCGAAGATTGACCCACTTGACTCCCGCAACTCATGTATCATAATAGCGAAGGGATTGGACTTTAGCAAAGTCGCCTATCTCAAGGTTGCTGATCTCTTTGACCAGTTTTTGCGGTCTGTCGATCTAAAAGGCGTTACGCTCAACACAAACTATGAAAAGCTAAAAAAGACTAAGGACGACACTGCGTTGATCATCGAGTTCAAAACCAGTGTGGCGGCCACATTGGCCCTAGCACTCGACGAGAAAGAAATTCCGGCATCGTCTGTCGCTCACGATGGACTACAAACTTCGGGTTCCCTTAAGCTCTCGCTCACTCGTCCTGGTGAATATGTTGTTCAATGTCTTCCCCCATACGAGTCAGGCGACGACGATTTGAAAGATGAAGTCATCGACAGCCCAAGAAAGTTAACCATTCAGGTCGATAAAACTACGACAGAATCACAGCTACAAGACGCATTGACAGAGATCGCTCCTCTCCGAGCATTCAAATTGTTACGTGAGGTGGGAACCAAAGAGTCCGTGGGGCTAGCATTCGTCGAGTTCTTCATCGATCCCAAAATTCATCCGAAGACCAGCGATGCCGTTAAGTTGGTATCTCAGTACGCTGGTGCTGCACGTCAGCTTCCGATGATCAAAAATGTAACCTTTTCATGCATTAAGGTGTCAGAACTGGGTGACATCAAAACGAGCATTCAAGATTGCCCTATTGAGCTCAAAACTTTACGATCCATGGTGCGCAATGAGTATGTCAAGTACCACGCCAAACTGACGGTTATACAGATTATTAATGCTGTCACTCCGAACGACCTTCTAGATGATGTCAACTTCAGATTCATTCACCATGATATCAAAGAAGAGGCAGAAGTTTTTGGTAAGGTTGTCTCCCTTCGCATTCCCAGACCGCCTCACGATTACACCCCTGGGATGCAGCTGCATGTCAGCCAACCTGGGCTCGGCAAGGTATATGTTGAGTTTGAAGATGACAAGGCTGCCTTGAATGCAATCATGGGTCTCTCAGGTCGCTCTTATAACGACAGAACGGTGATCTGTGCATTTTATAGTCACCATGATTACCTGTGCGGGTTACTATAAGATGTTGAAGCATTTTTCATATTGGCCATGAAATGCTTTAGCTCTTGAGGGACCAGTGGGTCGAATCCATGTCTTGCAATAAGACTGTACAAATCCTTCGGAAGCTCAGGTATGAAGCTTAGACTTAACTTGATTATGTCGTTCTCTCTCAAAGGAGGGAAGTTTCTTAAAAGCTTCATAGGCTGTGACGATTGGAGAAGCGCCGACCTGCTCATGATTAGCTGCGCCACGACGAAAAGAATGTTCATGTGAGTTCCATATGCAAATAAAAAGTCCCAAAGTTTGATCAAAGAGTTGAGCGTTGGGGTACACGCACACAACGTTAGTACTGACGGAAAAGCATAGATCTCTGCCTTGAGAAATTTAGAGTCCAAGTAATCACTTAAGACTGGGTCAATGATGCGAAGGACGACGTCCACAAGACTCAAGCCGGTATGGACACCATCTAGATTGGCGGTGACATATAGTGGAAGTTGGTCGTTGACCAAGTGGTGAAGCAAAGCAAAGGCTTGAGGCTCACTGCGATGACAGGAATATGCTATGGGTGCCAACAAAACATTCATGCCTTGAACGTAACCTACTTTGTTCTCGGGCCGTGAGAGGGCGACCGCCAGTAGGATCCTGGTCAATGACTCCTCACTAACTTTCGAATGGAAGCTCTTGTCGTTCATGAGTGTTCTGAAAGTATCGTTTTTGATTTTGCGATATAGATCGGGAGGCAACTTTTCAGGAACCTCTGATATTAGTCTGGCATATTTGCTGGTTGGATAGACGGGCACTCTGCACAATATGGACCATACGTGGGATCGATATGGGCATTGGTCATAGCCATCAGGAATGGTGAGTCCTTCTATTAATATCATATATCGAAGTTGGCTTAGACTTGTATCTAGGATTATTTGAGGCAGCTCAATGAACTGCTCGATGGAGTCCTTCTTTCTCCCTTTATTGAGCTCCATGGTAGATTGGTGGTTTTGTTTTGGTGAAATCAATAGATAAACACCGCGCCTGTATGCACCTACAGTCAAGACAGTAGACCCTTGAGTAAAAGAACACTTGATCGTCAAGACAGCATGGCATATCAGAAAAAAAAAAAAAAGTAATAAATTGAAGTAACGAGTCTAGTCTGGATTATCCAATCTTTTGCTTCTAGCGGTTGAAGGCAATACGCGAAGAGGTTGTAGTCTGGATACCCTCAACTGCTCATAAATTCAAGGATATCAATATTTGAAATAACTATTGCTATGTCCTATTTAACTACATTTTGAGTGGGATTAAATCAGTTCAGATCTCTCGGACTTTCAAATGAAAGTGTTAAGAAAGCTTCATTGTGGCTGCAAAATCGCTCCATTCCTTTGCGATAAAGTTGACTGTACTAACGGAAATTAAAAAAGAATATACTGAATCAAATTTTTTTCCCTACGAAGACGTAAAAAAGAGAAAAAATCATGTTTGAGGAGCTAGAACAGTTTTCATTTTCTACTACTGGTGATGTGACCTGCACTGTGCGATCCATCGCTGAAAATGCCCTAGGCAGAGTTCACCAGTTTTTTCTTACATTCCAACATGCCTGTCACAGAAATCAAGGGTTTTCAAGTACTCCCACTTCGGCTACCGGACAGTTCAGGGAAACTGTACCTTTATTTCAGAAAGCATGAAGTCAAGGGCAACGCTGTAGCACAGCTGCTCTCAGGACGGTCATTATTCGTCTTCAACCTCCCCATCCAAACGACACATCAGGTCGTCAAGAAATATTTTCAGCAGGTTGCAATCGGTGCTACTGTTGAGAGTTTCATTCCCAGCATCCTTACAGATCTTCAGGAAGATTTCTACGTGGACCTCACAAAACTCACATCGGATCTCGAGTTCGACAACGAAGATCCCACCAAAGAGATTGCAGAGAAGCTCCCGAAAAACTGTGCCATTATCACTTTCATTGACAAATCTTCCTTCCAACTAGCATTCAACGCATTGAAAAAGTTATCAAATGACGCTAAGACCACCAACTGGCCCGTGCCCTCATTAGGCTCTGCATTCCTCCAGAAGAAATACCAGAAGCAGATATTGGATGCTGGAAAGTTGTCAGTAGCAGTGGCAACAGCGTTGGCCGACTTCAACAGGGCAGAGCAGGAGCTGATGGAGGATTTGAAGAGAAGCACTGAAGTGGTAGACGAGGATGGCTTTACCTTAGTGGTGGGCTCCCACCGTAAGACAAAGGCGGGTATCATGGGTAAACAGAAGCTTGCTTCGACCGTTGGACTAGAAAAGGCCAACAAGAAGCTCAAGAAGAAGGAGAAGGAGGACTTCTACAGGTTCCAATTGAGAGAGAAGAAGAAATCCGAGATGAATGACTTGCTCCAGAAATTCAAGCAGGATCAAGAAAGGATCAAGGCCATGAAAGAGAAGAAGCGTTTTAGACCATATTAATGTATTATAGACAATAGACGGACACCTAGAATTTCAGTATAGACATTTCGCACCCACATCAACTACATCTGTCATGAGTGAGACTGGGGAACCTGAGACAATTGCTTATGAAACATTCATCGATCTGCTTCAATTTGATCCTTACAAGCTAGATATCGATAAATTACAACTTTTATCGACAATCAGGTATGATCCTGGCCTCACCTCCAATCAACCCACTACAGTTGCAGATGTCAAGAAGGCTAACTTCTTCTGCTTCTCCGACCACATCGATAGACTCAGGTTCACTGCCGACTTTTTCACATCATCGTTGAAGAACGAGAAGCTAGTTGAGGATCTCTTTCCCTATGAGATCACAGAGAAGTACATTTTTGATCAACTTAGGAACACCTTATTCGAGTCTCAGGTGAGGCTCGATTTACCAATGAAGGTACGCCTTTTGATGAATATGAATGGTGAAGTGACCATTGAGCTACACGAGACTCCTGTAAGAGAAAATCTTCTTGACGGACTAGACGAAGGCAGCCTTTTTACAGAAAAGTTCGATTTGTATGTCCAAAACGAGCCAGTTTTGCCCTCTCCGTTCACCTCCTTCAAAACCACCCACAGGACAGTTTACACGAATGCCAGAAACAAGGCACTTCCAGGTCAGAGACCAGGCAAGGAAGAGGTCGTTTTGGTGAACACCTCCAACCAGGTCATGGAGGGATCCATTACAAATATTGCAGTGAGAAACGAGAAAGGGCAGTGGATCACCCCACAATTGACCTCTGGCTGTCTATGTGGGGTAGCACGAAAGATGCTCATTCGTGAAAATCGCATATATGAGGGAAGCATATCAAGAAGTCTGCTTGTGAAGGGTCAAGACGTTCTACTTTTCAATGGCATAATGGGTGTCGTCAGAGGCACCATCATTGATTTCGTCTAGTTACTCTATAAGCTTCTTGATGGCCTCATCATTGAAGCCCATGATGTATAAAATGTCTTGCAAAGACTTAGTGTTGAGGCAGCAAGGGGCCTCTTTCTGGACCTTAGGTTTGGCATTCCAGGCCACACCCCAACCAGCGACGCTCATCATCTTCAAGTCGTTAGCTCCGTCGCCAACAGCCACAGCTGACTTGGTGTCAATATCATGTTTCTCTGCGATTTCCTTTAAAAGCTGAGCCTTCATGTCTCCATTAACGATGGGCCCAAAAGTGGTACCATTCAACTTCTGTTCCTCGTCTACACCCAAGTTGTTGGCGTATGCATAGTTTAACCCAAGCTGTTCTTTAATGAAAGATGCCAACGGTATGAAGCCACCAGAGCAGACAGCCATCACAACACCCAACTTTGTCAAAGCCCTACAGAGCTCCTTGGCACCATTGGTGATATTGAGCTTGAGCTTGAGTTCGTCCCATAGCGTCGTAGCGTCAATGCCTTTCAAGAGAAGGACACGCTCGCGCAAGGAGTCATTGAAATCCAACTCACCATTCATGGCGCGCTCGGTGATTTCAGCAACCTTGTCTTCGATATTGGCGTAAGCTGCGATCAACTCAATCACCTCTTGGTAGATCAAAGTGGAGTCCATGTCAAAGACGAACAACTTCTTGTCCTGCCTCTCAGATGTCTTCTGGAAGAATGTGTCGTATTTTGGATTAACCTTTTCGTTCTCATGCTTGATCAAGCTGGCAATCAAGTCTGGCGTGGCTGTCTTAACTTGAAAGTCGATAACTCTATTCTTCGAGAGCTCCTCTTTGCCGAGGATCTGCAAGTCTGCCGTGACAGTGACAAACTTTTCTATTTGCCGCTGCTCCTCATTGGAAAGAGCGGGACCATGCGCTATAAAGGTCAAGGAGTAAGTCTCAGGCATCTTGTGTCAAATGATTCAACAACGTGAAGAGTAATTTCCAATGCAGGTGAATCAATTAGTGGGCGTCGCGCATGAAGATCTACAAGGCTGCGAAATGGGTAACCTCGCAGACAGATATTGAAAGGGACAGGAGAATAAAATCAAATGTGCTGTTAAAACTATGCATATAAATAATAAGTGTCTATGCGGCTTCTTCGTGTTGCCGTCTCAAGTCATACTCACTCAAGCCAATCTCTTCTCCTAGCCTCTTAAAGTTGGCCATGTAGCGTTCATGCTTCTCATCTCCAATGCGGTTCATTTCCTTCCAGTAAACATCGTGAATATATTCAAAGTCGAGCATACCGTTGAATTCTTTGTCAAGTTGCTCTTTGGGGACGAAATTCTCAAACGGCTGGTCATAGATTGTCTTCAGACGAGTGTATGGATCGATGAACGGACCGACGAGTTTGAAGAAGGTGTAGCCAATCCATGGAATATTAGTGAAGAGACCACGTCCCAATCTTTCGGGATAGTGGTTTTGTAAAATGTGTAAAACTTGCTTGGAGATGCTGAGGGAAGGAAATTTGGAGGAAAGCTTGAGGTGCTCTGGAGCAGCCTTGAAGTCGATCAATAAAGCAAGGCCATCCTGGCCTGGTGGCATAAACTGTATAACTCTTTCTAACATGAACACCAAA